CGCTGCGGCCGGGCGACGTGCTGGTGACGCGGCACAGCAACCTCGACACGCACGTCATCTTCCACCTGGTGGTCGACGACTCCCTCAAGGCAGGTGGGTGTCGCCGCATCGCTCTTTTTGCTGGACGAGTACAAATTAAACGTGACGTTTCGTTTCCCCACGCGTCCCGTCGTTGTGAGCAGACATAACGTCGAGGCACCCGGCCATCCTCGGCCTGCGCAACATCCTGAAGGCGGCGTGCTGCAACGACGTGACCACCATCTCCCTGCCGCTGCTGCTGCGCAACGAGATCACTGAGGTACGTCGTGTGCGGCTGCGTTCAGTGGGGGAGGCGTGTATCTGCCGAGCTGAGTGTGGTGGCGTGTCGCAGGAGATGACGGCGGCGTGGTGCGTGCGTCGCGCGGAGCTGGTGCTCAAGTGCGTGAAGGGGTTCGTGCTGGAGGCGGCGGGCGGGGGCGGGGCGGAGCTGCGCACGCTGCACGCCGCGCTGCCGCCGCACGCGCCCGACCTCTTCGCCGCCGTGCAGGTAATGCGAGCTGCACACCTTGCTGCACATACTAAATCTCTCGTATATCACTGTGCCGGTACATGTGTTGCAGTCGCTGCTGCCGAGCGTGTTCCGCGTGGCGGGCCCGCTGCGTGCGCCGCGCCGCGCCGCCCCGCTCTGACACTCACCATTGCCTCGCTTTGTTCCGCAACAACGCCAAGGATGAATCTCCTCTGTCGTAACATATTGCGATCCCTTTCGTTCTCGTTGAATAAAACAGAGGCAGCAATCGTGTTAGTACACAAGTGCAGCTGCAACAGGGATTTAGACATGCGTACATTCCTCTCGGTGACATGTGCTGATCTCGTACCGTAATTTTTCTCCATTCTTTATAATTAAGTTGTAAAAAAATAAACATATTATATGTTTGGAAGCTTGTATATAGACAAGTTCACTGGGGAAAGTTTCGTAGCGACTACCGTAATACTTATTTATATATTACTATCATATACTAATTATCTAATTTATATTGTACATTATATGGAATTATAGCCAATCAGAAAGTCTTTTATTTAAAGTTTGCTCAGCTAGGGGTGAGACTCACTCCCACGGTATAGTTCGTTTCTCCTCACCTCGCATCCCGCAACGCCACCAACATCGTGTTCTGTGCAGCAGAAAAAAGCAATGTCTTGCCATACACTTGTATTTAATGGAAGGTTTGATTTGAATCTATCGACCAGACCAGACATCAGTATCTCTGTTTGTTAGAAGTTTTCCCCCACATGCGGAACTGGAATGGAATGAAGAAAGGATTGGTCTCAACAGCCGCGAGAAGGATAAAGGGTCTATCAATTTATTATCAAGGAAGGCAACAAAATAAAACAACAAGTTTGTACTGCAGTATATTAATCAAGGTAAATTATTGTAATAGAATAGTTAATTAATACAATGTATTATAATATAGTTGTATGCGACACCGAGCACCGCCTGCCTGCGCGACTGCTTTATAACTAAGTGGTAAGAGAAACTGTAAGGTCGCGACTCGCGTCTCGCGTCTCGCGTCTCTCGGCTCGCGGACACACAACTAAATATTATTAAATATATGCCGACAATATCTGTATAAAAATATATCCTGACATTAAAATAAACTTTGCAACGTGTATGTTTGTTTACATCACATATTACGTTCACTTGAGCGCTGCAACAAGCAATCAACCTTCTACTAACTATCATTTTCTGAAAATGTTTTCAAAATATCTAATGTAAAGTTAACTCGGTACAAAAAATTATTCTTGAACACGTAAGCTGTGTTAAGTTGTTCAATTCGGAAACTTGAAGCAAATTGTCTCGAGTTAAACATTTCCACCCGGCGCCGCTAAAGCTGTTAAAGTAGCGCGTCAAAAAACTTAAATAACTTACAATAGAAAAATATTACAAAACAATCCAAGTAAAGAAAAACATTAACATAATTGTTGTTCAATAATAAACTTACGTACAAAAGGAAAATATTTAACAAGTTGAATGCGACACGACACGACACGACACGACACGACACGTTCACACGTTGAACCTGAATTGATAGCAAGTAAATAAGAAGCATTCAAAATAAGAAAATCACATTCAAAGAATAAACTTCAACTACGCGTGTGCAATAACATGATCGCATTCCGATGACATCACGGCCGGCGTTCTCAATAGTTATCTCGCGTGTTACTGTAGTGAGACCAATGTTTGTTGAGGTTTTGCGCAACATCAGTGGAGTACCGCGTAATAAAGTGTTTTGTATAAAAATCTCAAACAATGTTTTATTAAAGAAAAAATTGCATATTTCCATATTTAAAAACAAGAATTCCAAACCGATCCTACAGACCATCGTCTAATTAACTAAATCTAAACAAAAATCAAGATGATTAGACGTTTCTAATTTCACCGACTTCAGCATGTACTGTCTGTCTGTCTGTCTGTCTGCCTGAGGGTTTGTACTGGGTTTGACTGCATGTTAACGCGACACGCATCAACTTGTGCGTACAGTACAGTTACTGTATGTGTTGCCTCTACACTTATAAACTAGCTTTGTACTTGTATCTGTGCACTCGGCTAGAAGACGCCTCCCGCACGCCTCTCTCTGCTCACACATTTGCTACAAACATACAACTAGTAAAGCTTATCTTTTCATATGTGTTATTGTGCGATGTCAGTGTACTTAAGCTGTTGTTTGTACACAGTTGTCTTTCTCTTCATTTCCTGCGTACATCTGGAAACAATTACATTTATTTACTTATAATACCAGTAACGTTTAATTCGCATCAAGGTGATGAAACAGTAATGGTGTTGGTGAAAACACAACGAGAGGGAGGTGATATTACCTTAGGGCGCTACCTGCGCCGGCTGCGCGCCGCCGCCTGCCCCTCTGACTCTGCACACACAACGTTTACAATGCACATCTAACTATACCTCGCTTACATCATGCCACTTGCATTCCAGCGCTGCTGATGTGCGCTACTGTCCTACTGTACTGGAACTGACCTGGCGGTGCGCGTGCGGCGCGTGCGGCGCGTGCGGTGCGTGTGGCGCGTCGCGTCTTCGGTGCCGGCGGGCTCGCTGTTACACAATATTAACTATGTTTTATAAGCTGTTTACTACGAAACTTACAAGTTCATTTACTTAATATAAACATCCAACTCGGGTCAAAGAAACATAACTGAAATACGATAATTATTTTTAATTAAAATAAAAGAAATGTAATAAAAGTGTCACCTTTAGATGGGGCCGGGTCGGTGTCGGTGTCGGTGTCGGCCTTCCTCTTGCGTGCGGGCGCGGTGGCTGCGGGCGCGGCGGCTGCGGGCGCGGGGGCTGCGGGCGCGGCGGCTGCGGGCGCGGCCTGCAATGTAATTCACTCAAACTTTACATATACTGTTTACAATATTATTAATACATAATTAAGTATTGGTGAGAAAGGCGCCATGTTTACATTTGTAGTGTTTCTCAAGGAAAGTTTATTCTCTATGTGGCATACTGCAAAACAAGCCGCCTTCAATGTCATTAATGTTGCAATGCAATGCAATGCAATGCAACTACAACAAAATAATGACTGATTTAATAGCAATAGGTTAAACTGACTGTTTTCTGTGTGACGTTCGGCTTCACTTTTCTAGCAGCTTGTGGTGCAGTAGTGAGCTTCTGTTTGGCGGCCGCTTTGGAACTCCTGCTGGCGGTGATGCTCGCCGCCGTCTCTCTGTTGGAGCCGTTTGGAGATGTTTCATTGCCTTTTTTTGCAGTTCTTCCTCTTTTATTGACTGTCGTTTGGGTGTTGTCCACGGCGACGGCGGCATCTTGCACCTTGATCTGTCTTCCCTTGGCAACGCGGCGCCCACTCTTAACGGGCTCCACGTTGCTATTTGAATCTTTGTCGTTGGCCGCTCCTAGTTTAGATGGCGGCTGTTTGTTAGTTGTTTTCCTCATATTTCCTCGGCCAACACTTTCTGTATTGTCTTTGTTCGCGACTCGTCTTGTAGTCGTGTCTTCCGGCTCCGTTGTCTTGCCTCTAGTCTTTTTGTTTACCTCAACTAAATGTACAGTTTTTCGAGTAGCTCGTTTTTGTACTTGAGTAGGCTTACTTTCATCTTGGACATTTTTCTGAGCAATAGTTTTTCTTCCCCTTCTTGTCTTAGGTTCTGTATCCATGTCCTCGTTGGACGATTTATTATTAGCTTCCTTTTTCTTTTCGGTTCGTCGGACATCAAGCACAACCGCCTTGCTTCTTCTTCCGCGCTTGTTTGCAATCTCAACGGGAGCCTCTAATGTATTTGCGTTTGTTTTTCGACCTCTTCGTAAGTTTGTAACCGGTGCCCTATCGCTTACGTTCACAATATGTTGCTTTGCAGTTCTAGTTTTCAAATTGGGCGATGGTTTTGTTACAACAACAGTATGTTTTAGGACTTTACTTCTCGTCATTTTCTTTGGTGTTTGTACTTTCTCCGCGGAGACCTTTCGTCTACGTGTTGTTCTAGTTTTTGGCGGACTTTCTTTGGTTTTATCCGAGGCTTTAGCATTACGACCTTTGTTCTCGTTCACTTTATTGTGGTTCGTTTCGTTTTCTTCACGAATACTTTTCTCTCTCGTTTCCTCGACGGCTTTTGCGATTAAATTTTCTTGATCAATTTGTTTTCGTCTTCTACTTATTCTGGTTTCAGGTTCCCCGGTTGCCGGATTCGGGCTCAGGCAGGGCGGTTTCTTTCTTACTACGACAGATGTTCTGCGTTTTTTCACGTTATTTTGTTCCATATTGAGGTTTGTTTTACGGTTTCTTGTACTTCTTCTTTGCATAGGACTACTAATCTTTTCTCGTTGTTTTTCTCTTTCTTTAGGAATCTCCATAGTTCTGAAAAAATAAACGTAATATAGCTTCATAAATTAAAAATGTGTTATATTAGGCTCCTTTATAAGAAAAGTTTATAGATCAAGGTATGTGACGTTTGATCACAAAACAATCAGTGGCCGAGCGGGAGATAGAGAACAATGAACATTTTGTAACCACTCAAAGTTGTGTCATAAAATAAATAAAGCAAAGTTACGTGACGTCAGCGGCGAGGCGGTGGTGCGGGGTGGGGGG